ATATGTTATGTTACTGTATGTCTAAAACAAGGTTTGGATAATTTTATGTAATCTAAGACATTAGTTTTGAAATAAAAACATTTTGTTTCTAAAAACAAACTTTGCTTGATCACAACTAGAAAACCTGAATAAAAAAGTTAAAAATCGTTAAAAAAAAACGTTAAAAATCTCTATTTATTGCAGACTCTAATGTTGTCTAAAGCTCTAATGTTGTCTAAAGCTCTAATGTTGTTTAAAGCTCTAACGTTGCACTGAAGAAGCAGATGTTTCAGCAGATCTTGTACCTTTAGGATGGATCTGTGGAAGAAAAGAGCCAGCAGCTGGATCAGGTCGTAGTGGACATAACCATCCTTCTTCTCCACACCTATGATGTTGGGCGGGTGATACGGTTTGTTCCTGTCCATCTTGTTCTGGTTGAAGGGGAAGAAGCCRAACTGGAAGAAGTACTTGGTGACGATAGTGAACTGGAAAATAAAAAAAAGGATCATTAAAATTCAGGAGCTAAACTGGAGGTTAAAAACTGGGAGGAGCGCGGCGCTCCGTACCTCAGTGTAGATGATGGCTGTCATCCAGTAGCGCTTGCTGGGCCGCGGCACGGACAGCATGGCCCAGAGGAAGATGGTAATGGGAAGGACCAGAGTGGCGCAGGAGGCGGACACCATGTGGTTGATGATGATGACCAGGTAGCAAACAAACTCGGAGTGGGCCACCAGCATGTTGTAGAGGGCGTAGCAGAACTGTAGGATCAGAGGCTGGGTCTGGTAGAAGTTGTCCGACTGCTCCAGCTCCTCGTCGTAGAACATCCTGAGCACAAACGCTGCTGTTATTTTAAGAAACAGAGAGACTTGTTTCATTCAGCTGAGTTTCAGGACTTACTTGTTGAGCAGCAGTTCGCTGGCGGTCAACTCRGTGGTCATGGAGGGCAGCATGATGTCGGACCTGCTGTCGGAGCGGCTGTCAGACGTCATGATCATGTGCCTCTTCCTGTCCATGTCGCTGTCGTCGTCGCTGACCTCCAGACGGTCGAAGCTGACCGCCTTGCTGTAACTGGGCGGCACCTCGGCGTCAGAGGTTTTGGAGGCGTCCGTGTCAGGAGTGTAGAGCAGGCCGGGCCGGCCCTCCGTCTGCATGAAGTCCTGATGTTCTCCTCCGTCGTCACTCTCTGTGATGAAGTCGTTCTCCAGAGCTGAGGGCGCAGATTCAGCCTCCTCCAGCCTCGAGGAGGGACCTTCATCTGGGCTCAACGACTCACTGGGAGTCCCCCCTCCTTCCTGACCTTCCAGTTCTTCCTCTTCTTGCATCCCCTCCTCACCTTCTTCCCTCTGAGGCCTCTCCTCCTCTTCATAGTCTTTCTCCCTGGGCTCTCCATCACTCCATCGCTCTTCCTCCTGACTCTCCTGAAACTGTTGGGGTTCCACCTGCTGCTTGTCTTCTCCTTGGTCCTGCTCGTCCTCCACCTCCTCGATGGTGTCCGTGGTGCCTTGTCTGGAGTAGATTACGACGCACTGCGTTGTTTCACTGCAGAGGACGAGAAAAGTAGGGAATATTCAGAACTATCATGTTTTCTGGGCCTGAGCTGCTCTGAAAAGTTGCTCACAAAATAAAAGCCACTGACTAAAGAGGCCAAAATTTATTGAGCTTTTGGCTGACTTATTAAAAAACCATAAAAGTGGATCAGACTTTCAGCATAAAAGACTAAATAAATAACAAAACAAAAAATAAAACTAAAATAACCACTTAGACCATTAAGTCAGAGTGTCCTTGTTGCATCTGGGGATCAAACCACAAACACTCTGACTGTAGGACCACCTTGAACAAAGTCATTTTTTAAAAACCTTTTAAGGTGTCAAACTCAAGGCCYGCGGGCCAAAAGTGGTCTGCTATAGCATTTTATGTGGCCCACAAAAGCTTCAAAAATGTATTAACGTCTTAAAATAAGCTGCTTTAAAGACAGCAATGACCATAAACTACATTTACCATAATGCAAGTCAATGATATTACCCGCAAAATGACGGCATCCTTCCACTCAAAACAAACCGGCAAATTTCGGCGTGTAAAATCTCCATTTCGCTGCATTTTTGCCATCTACTTTTGCTGTGGCCCAGTTGTACTGGGAAGTGGAAATTTTCTGCTTAYATGTTGTAAATTTAAACTYCCGTGGGAATTTAAGTGGGAGAGTTCGGAATTTAAGATGGCAACTGCTCACCACAACTCAATGAGTAAAACTCTTTTACTTTAATACTATTTTTGTTTTATTTATTCCACATTTAGTCATTTGTACATGTTATACTTTTCCGTGTTTGTAAGAGGTTGTGTTAAACTGTTGTTTCGATGCAGGAAATACCAGGTAGAGCTCAGTTATTGTTTGTTAGCGGTGCTCAGTCAAAGCAACGAGACGAGGAATGTGATGTTATGTGTTTAGTTGGTTAAACATGAATCGTCACTTGTGGCTTTCTGTGAAAATGAGTTTAACACCCCTGTTTTAACGTTTTGTGGTCACAAGCCAYGCCCACTTTTTGTTCTAGTCAGATCAGGGGGTTTTGACAAGGTCCTACAATGACTGAGCAACATAAAACTGATGAGAACAGATTCATGAGATGAAGCGATCACATGACTGAGTGAATGGAGGGATGGTTATGGAGCACCTGGACATGAAGCTGCTGCCGCTGTCCACTGAGGAGCTGGACATGTCCATGCTGTACATCTTCCTCAGTTTGGGCCTGGCACGCTCACTGGTTTTGGGAATGTTCTCTGGCATCAAGTCCATGTCTTCCAGAGTGGACTGGCGGGAAAACAGCGTGGTGTTCTCGGTGCAGACGCTGACAGGGCGGTGSAGAACGACAGATGGGATGAGACGGGATGAAACAAGATGAGACGGGATGGACATAAAAKAACATCTTATGGAGTAAAACTCAATATGAGACATGAAGGTGTAAAAAATGAAACTCATGATTCTGAAAGGTTTTAAAGTCAGGATAAAAAAAAAACACGTTTCCTCACTTTCTGTGTATTGAACCTGGAACTCAAGAATTTCTCCTTCATTGGTTGTTTCCCATGAAATAAATAATTATTTGACTCTTGTATTCATTTTTGTTGCACTGGTGATGTGTGTACCTGGACATGCTGTCTCTGGAGGCAGTGGAGTCCTGGCTCTCCATCCGGTACCCTCCTCGTCTCTTCCGGACCCTCAAGGAGCCCGAGGCGGACTCATCGTCGCTGAGCTGATCTAGGCTAGCCTGCCTGGAGATGTTCAGCCTCATGGCCTTCTGATAGTAGACGTGGATGCTCTCTCTGGACGGCACGTTGCCCTGGAAGGAGGGGAGGAATTCATGTGTTAACGCTATTTGTGTCTTTTACAGAACACTTGAAGTTAAAGGTCCTCACGTACCTTCTTGACCTCCCGCGTCAGCATGCAGCGCTCGATACGCAGCACCGTGGAGATATCGATGTACTCCCTGCACATGTCGTTCATCCAGTTGGTGAAGCTCTCCACCGTGGTCTGGAAGAGCACCCAGGTGAACTTTATGATGTTGAACACTCGCTTGATGATGTTGTCTGCAGGACAAGAAGCAAAATAAAAGTAAATTAAAAATCACTTAATGTCTTTATGTTGCTAAATTTCAGAGAAACGGGGAGAAACCCACCTGGACCAGCAGGTTTTTTGTTCKCCTCCTCCTTTTCTTGCCCATCAGACAGATCGCCCACCTCTATTGCTACGTGACCTGCTGAAGTAAATACATCAAAAATACACTTTAGGGATTGAAAGAAGCATTAAAATAATAATTTCACTGAACATATTTACCCAGCATACTAAAATACAGTGGGGAAAATAAGTATTTAGTCAGTCACCAATTGTGCAAGTTCTCCCACTTAAAAAGATGAGAGAGGCCTGTAATTGACAACATAGGTAGTCCTCAACTATGAGAGACAAAATGTGAAAAAAATTTTGAGAAAATCGTTTTGTCTGACTTTTAAAGAATTTTTTTGCAAATA